AATGTTTCTTCAAACTCTCATACAATCCCTCAATATTGTTATAGTCATCAGTCTCAAATTTTCTAAGTAGCAGTTATGTCTAACAGCTCATTATGTGAAGAACACCAAATCATAAAATATAACACTCTAAAAATTACCCTAAGAGGCATTTCTTCATCTAATCAACTTCTCTTGGCTTCACTTTCCTCCTAGTGCTGAAAATATTTACTTCCAAATATAGTCTCACCTTTATGACTTGGCTCCTCCTTTTCTTTTCTGTTTTGATATACAACATTCCTTGATATGCTTGGGTGCATGTTACAGGACCAGAGATACCCTGACATACGTGTATCATCCCTACTTCCCTTTACCTTGTAGTCAAAAGAAGTTATACATTTCTGACAGCAGTCATTTCTTCCTGTGTTTGGAAGAATCACTTACCATGATTTCTACTCGCTAAATTCCATCTATCCTGTATATTCCACTTAAAATTTAACCTATAGCTATATCACAATTATTCACAATTAATGGTGAAATACTGTCATCGAGGTCAGGACCAAGACAATTAACTGCACTTACTACCACCACTCTGATTAATGTTACATTGAAGATCCTACACAGTGTTGTTCCTCCTAGCAATATCATGTTTCCTTGATAATAAGTCCTAACTGGAAAATAATCAGTCTTAAAAACTGGAGATCAAGAGCTTGGAATTTAGCTCAGTAGCAAAAGTGCCTATCTGGGAGGCGTGAGGTCATGAGTTTGATTCCTGGTATCAAAATAAATAAATAAAACCTAGAAATCAAAAATGCCAGCCCATATCAGCCTATCCTTGACTGACCTGCCATCACGGTTCTTTTGCTTGGTGGCTCCTTTATAAGGCAGGTCAGGCAATGACAGACTAAAGTAGGCTGGCATTTTTGATCTCTGGTTTTCAAGGCTGATTACTTTCAACTAGGTCTTATTTTGGGGAAAAGAAGATAATAGGTCAGACAAGGGATTTGATCTCAAGTAGCACATTGATGATTTCAGGATATAACTGTTACAATGATGTAATGACAGGAGGTTAACAAATTATAAATGGATGGGGTGAGCAACAGACAACTGCCACTATTTTTTGTTTTGCTTTCCTTGTTTTGTGCTAATTACTAGCACATCTGCAGTACATAATCAATGTTCATCGTGGGCAGTTGGTACACATACATGACATGTTTCCCCTTTTCTCCCTTTTTCCCTCCTCTCCCTGTATTTCCTAGTCCTCTTTCTGTTGCAAAAGATCTATCTCCTTGTTTCCTATTGTCTATCTTTTATTTTGGTCTTTACTTACTTTGGGGTTCACATATAAGAAACCATGCAATATTTAAGTGATATGTCTGATTTATTTCACTTAACATTATGGCCTCAAGGTGCATCCATTTTCCCACAAATGATTCAAGTTTGTCCTTCACAGCAGAGTAGTGCTCCATTGTGTGTAAATACCACATTTACCTTATCCACTCATCTGTTGATGGACAGACAAGCTGCTTCCAAAATTTAGGTATTATGAATAGGTATGCCCATGTTTATAGCTACCTACTAAAAACACAAGTATGCATATGTCACTGTAATATGATGTCTTCACCTGTTTGGGGAAGACACCTAAAAGGAAATAGTTGGAATGTCTAGTTTTAGTTTTATGAGGAATCTCTATACTGATTTCCGTAACAGTTGTACTAGTTTACATTCTCACCAACAATGCAGACAGGTTCTTTTTTTCCCATAGTCTCAGGAGCATTTATTGTTGTTGTTGTTATTTATGATAGCCATTCTTTCTGGAGTAAGATGAGATCTCAGTTTTAGTCTGCATTTCTTCAATGGTCAGAGAATGTTGAACATTTCTTCATGGATTGGTCGTTTGTTCTTCTGAGAAGGGCCTATTCATTTCAGTTGCCCATTTAAAAAAAATTTTTTTTTAATTTGGGGAGAGTCTAATTTCTTGAGTTAGTCATATATTTTAGATACTAGCCCTCTCTTTGAAGAATAGCTGCCTAAAATTTCTCCATTCTTTAGGTTATCTCTACATTGTTTCTTTTTTTGTGCAAAAGCTTTTAAATTTGATATGATCCTATTTGTTTATTCTTATTATTTCTTGTGCAACTGAAGTCCTGTTCAGAGAGTCCTTCCTATACCTGTGTTTCCAAGACTCTCACTAATTTTACCTACCAGCAGTCAGGTCAACTATTTCTGTTTTAATATTTAAAACTCTGGCCCATTTTGATTTTAGTTTAGTAACATAGTGACAGATGTGGGTCTAGATTCAGTCTTCTCCATGTGCTATGCATTTTTCCCAACACTACTTGCTTTTTTTTTTTTTTTTTTTGGTCTCTTTGAGACAGGGTCTCTACGCAGTTCAGGCTGGCCTTGAGCTCCCTTTGTAGCCTCGGTATCTCTCAATGATCGTCCTGCCTCAGCCTCCTGAGTGCTGGGATTACAGGTGTGAGCCACCACGCACAGCTCACTACTTGCTTTTTAAAGAAGCTGTCTTTCCTCCAACGTATGTTTGCAGCTCTTTTATCAAACATAAGATACCTGAATTTGCCTAAGGTTTCTGCATCTTCTGTTCTGTTCCACAGATCCACAAGTCTCTTTTGTGCCAGTATTGTTTTATTTTTGTGGTACCCAGGATAGAATCCAGGGGTGCTCTACTACTGAACTAATCACCTGCCCTATGTATTTTCTGAGACAGGGCAGAAGTTTCTGAGTTGCCCAAATTGTTCTTAAATTTTCAATCACCTGGCCTGAGTTAAAGGTTACAGAAATGCACCACTAAATCTACTTGAGAAAGGGCTGTCATAGAGAACGAAAGGTAAGAACAGATCAAAGGTCTGCAAGTGACATTAACCAGCCATGCAAGAACTAGCAGAATACTTTAGGTAAAAGGAAGAGAAGTTTCTTTTTTTCTTTAAAAGTGTATTTAAAAAGCTAACCTTCTTCAAGAAACAGGAAGTCAATGCAGAATTGGTGAGAATGGAGGTGTGTGGCATGAGGTGTATTTGAAGAAGTTAGTGCGTTAAGGAAGATCAACAGTGCAGGAGTTAGGAAAAGCTCACTAGGAACCATGTAAGGAGTAAAACCAAGAGACAAGTACCCTAGAAATTAAAACAAAAGATACTGTTATGTTTGATACTATCGTATATGAAGTTATGCTCAACTATTTCAAAGAAACAGACCTTACGGTAATTACTGTTAATTATGGGTTGTCTTGTGGTAAAATGCTATGCTACTTGCATTGTTCTGATCTGATCTGCTTTGTTATGGTCTCTTTGGTCTTAATCTCTTTAAAATAAAAATAAGTAAGTAAATAAATAAATAAAACAAAAGATAATTTCACAAAAGAAGTACCAAATAACAGATGATATTACAGTTACTGCGTTTAGCAAATATTATGAAGCAAAAGCCTTAGAGAAAGAAAACTTCACTGAGTAGGCTAAGGAGTTAATGAGAGTGAAGGGAGTATAAAGAATGCTTGAGAGAGACAAATGGAGTAAAAAAGGAGATTTTAGCACATTTATGCATACAGAGAAAGGAGGCAAGAAAAAGTGCAAATACAGAAAAGGATAAGTAATAGAGAAAAGATCTAGAAGAGGGGAAAGGGAGTCAAATCACAGCCATAGATAAGAAAGACAAACAGAGTAATGATAAATTTTGCTACCAAGGAAGAAAGAACTGGTCACTCCTAACCATAAAGCTGGGTAAGATTATGGGGCAAGTGAATAGGAAAAGTCACATCTGGCAGCAGCACCAGTAACTAAGACAACAGTTTGTTCATTCAATTGTCTTAATGGGTGTATGGCAGCCTGAGAGAGGACTGCAGAAGCAAAAAAGGAATTGTACTCTGTCTTCTTGAGTTCCTTATTTATCAAGTTTTCAAGTTTTCAGATTTTAAGGAAGTTTGCTTCCCACTGTATTTATATACAGTTCTGCCTACATTCCAATTAAAATTGATCTATGCCTTCCTCAGCAAAAAATAGGAAGTCAATAGATACTGGTTAAAGAATGGGTACAGTCACGTAATATTTTAAAGTACCACAATAACAGTTAAAGAAAATGGTGTGTTTCACACTGAAAGGCATAAAGATTAAAGTTTACTGTTTCAGTCAGATGGTGTTCCAGCAGTGTAACAAATTAGAATAGATCCTTTAACTACTTGTCTTAACGAATCATTGAAAGTTATGTGGCCTTGTTTCATGACAATCTTAAACACAGCATCTAAACCCCAACATCTATTTAAATGAAAATAGATTTCCAGTTAGCTGCTTTGACTCAGAAACCGTAGACATTTATATTCCACTCAGAGACAAAGTTATTTACTTCCTAAAATTATTACTCCAAAGTTGCTTTAAATTGTGGCTACATAGTGAGGCTTCCTACAACAGGCTTCATTCATATAGTGACAGAAATCTTTCAAATTTCTCATTCTTTGGGATGTCAGCGTTAGGGGATGGTCAGAGAATGTCATCAACCGAGGAAGGCCTCCTGACCCAGTCGGCTCACATTCCGTTCCGCACACGCACCTCGACACACAGCGACACGCTCTAGGGCTGCATCTCCAGTTCACCTCAGCCTTGCCCAACGCGCGCGGTGAACTACACCTGGTTGCCAGGTGTCCCATCTCCAGGTAACTCCCAAAAATGAGATGGCATTTTGTTCTCTAATGACAAATCGGGGCTGGATCTTGCCCGTCAGACCCAGCACAAAAGAAAGCAAACCCTAAACACGTATAAGATGTAAACATGCCGAGTCCTATTCCTTAAGAAAAAACATGGAGGAAGAGCGGCGCGTGACAAGGAGAGCAGGCGAGCACCCGCCTACAACCTTCTCCACAGGGCGCACGTGCGAGCCAGCGCTAGGGCCCGCGCCAACCGCCCCGGGCCGCGGCCTGGCAGTCTGCGCGGAGGTGCCTGCCTTTTTGGCGCCGAGTCCTGGAAGGCCAAGCCCGCGCCCCGAAGAGAGACGGGACGGGCGCCAGGCCCCACACTCACCCACAGGATGAGGCTTTCGCAGAGCGGCCGCTCCGGAGGCGCCAACGCCTCCTCCATGGCGGGACGCCCGCCGGCGACGGCCACCTCTTCCCCGGGTATTCCCGCGCCGCTGTCGCCACAGCTCGCCCGGTAGGGAAGCTCGCGGGCCAGGCCGGGCGTCCGCGGCGCGCACGCGCGAAGCCCCAAGCCACAGACTTCGCGCCCGCCCCGCTCGGCTCCGTCGGGAGCTCCTGCGCGCCCCGCCCCCGACGGCCTCACCTGGGCCCCTCCCCTTGGGCCCACCTCACCGCACACATCGCCCGCCTCTCTGAGTGACCTGCGCACACACCAGTCACAAAGGCTGGGAGGGGCGGGCGGAGGCGGTAAAAGCGCGCAAGGTGGGGCAGAAAGGGCTGCGGATTGGACGGCCACTCGTGGCCTCCGACCAATGGGCAGGAGACGAGCTTTATAAGACTCCGCGCTGGAACGACAGTGAGTGGAGAGAGGTTTATGACCTGGCAGGTGCAGTAGGGGCGGGGCGGGTCTGTGTGCAGGGCAAGCGAGCGCGCATGCGCGGCTAAGCCAACAGGAGCCTGGTCAGCAGGTTAGGTCTGACCTCTGGCTCTCCACAGTAGATGCCCGGGCTACGCCTGCTGGAATCGATACTGCTACTACCAGTCTTCCCAAAGAGATCGTGCCTAGAAATTAAAACGCCTGGAGGAAAGACGACGAGCTGATTTTCTCCTGGGCGCTCTTTTGAAATGAGTGTTTTAATTTGCAGAGGTGGTAAAGAAATGGGTGTCTTAGGGAAAGAAAGCAGTTTAATGCAGTACATCTAATGTGCTCTACGGGATCACAGATCATGGCAATTTCATTTTAAATAAAACAAAGGAAAGGCTGTTTTGGATAGCAAAATGAAAAATGGCATAGCTTAGTTTTCAGAGAACATGGACAATATCAATGTACCCATTTTCCTATCTTTTCTAAGAATAGTTGTGGTGAGTAGTGGCTTAAAATTCGAAGCTCTCCAAGGTGCTGATAGTGACTTGGGTTACCTAGAGGGGTTAGAATGTTCTTTGCCTTGCTGTTAGCTCTCATCAGTTTACTCATTCATAAATTCATCATGTCGCGCTCTACGTAAGGAGGCAGCTGGCTGATTTAAATTTAGACGTGGAAAGTTTAAAACTTCCATAATAGATGGCTGCAATTAAAAAGCCTCAAATGTAAATCGGTCTCATTCTAAAAATACCACACATACATTTGCTATTGAATTCCTTAACGTTATTTCAGAACTTAATATGTTTGGAGTCACTTTACATTCTGGACACCGGGAACATAGGCCATGTGACTTGAGGACAAACTGCAAGATTAAGCGTTGAAGACAGGATATGAATTCTGACTTTGCTACACCTGCTTTGGCCTCAGCTTTTTCCTATGAATCCCAACCTCCAAATTCTTATTATAATTGTAATTAAAACATAAATATACATTATACAGATAGAGTATGTTGAAAATTGTAAATTTTGCGAATATGAGTTGCAAATTCAAAAACATCTAATAACATATATTGCTGAGTGCCACAGATCGCTGAACTATTCAAATAAAATAATGAAAGTAACTGATGGGGAAATCAAGTTGTCCTTTTGTATTCCATTCATACAAGACAGTAGATCCTAAGGGAAGGAAAAATATCCAATTGTCTTTGTGATACTAGATCTTATGAAAAAAAATGTGTAAAGGAAAATCAGTTGATTACAGAATGTTATCGTGTGTATCTGACATCTTCCCAGAGCCTCATGGGCTCAGAGGTGGGCTTTGGGTGAGTTGGTTGGTTGGCTAACTTGCTGTTAGGAGGTGGAGCCTGGTTGAAAGAGGCTGGTCACTGGTAGTGTGAGCCAAAAGGTCCCTTCCTGGCTCCTCTCTTCACTGCCTCCTAGCTACCATGATCTCAACAGTTTTTCTGCTGCTATGTGTTACCATTTCTGTTTGAGTGGCCCATCATGGACTGAAACATAAGTCAGAATAAACCTCTCCTCCTTTAAGTTGTGGGTATCCAGTATTGTGTGTCAGCAAGGAGAAAGTGAGTAAGACAAGCAAAATACCAAATATCTCAAATAATTATGAAAAACAAAAATATGAATCACTGAAATAGAACAATAAAAATAATGTTGAGAAGAGTGAGGTGTACTCTCGTGTACAACTGGAACAATCAGAAACAATGACAATATTTATCAAGAAACTTTAAAATATCTACATCTTTTAAACCCATCATTCCTTTCCTAGTCATAAAATATATTGAAATCATCAGAAAAATAAAGGTTTTGAACAACAACCTACATTACAAGTCTATATATATGGGTCAGTGCATCTCCAATAAACAAGAAAGGTTAAACACTTTATAGCAGATTAAGATTTAATGAAATAACACTTTAAAGATTCTTTGATGACTCAAGAAAGTTGTCATAGCATATATTAAAATTTAGATATGAAATAGTTGCCATGTTTTGGACTTCAATGTTATAAATATTATTTCTATATTTTAACGTGCACAGCAAGAAGACAAAAGAATATCCATCAAACTATTTTGTATTTATATATAAGTGATCATACTCTTTAATCTTTCATATTTTTATTCTTTTCGCAAGTACTTTGTATTACATTATAATCAGAGAGAAGACATTAGAAGAAATGTCAAATGCACAATAAACATCATTTGTAACTATTGGCATTAGATTCTTAAAGTTGGGACTCACTCTTGAGTCCCTATGAGTTAAATGAAACTAACTTTGAAACAGTAATTGTCAGATTACAAATTAACACAATCTTTCTGCAAGGTTTTGGAGAATATATATCAAAAGCTTTTAAAATGTTCAAAGGGGCTGGGGATTTAGCTCAGTGGCACAAATGCCTGCCTGGCAAGCTCAAGGTCATGAGTTTAATCGCTGGTACCAAAAAAATGTTCAAACATTAGGCCAGTAATTTCACTTTCAGAGTCTATTCTAAGAAAATAATCAGATGTCAAAGAAGGTGTTGATTGTAGTGATATTTATCAAGGCAAAAAATGGAAAAATAAGCTAAAAATGTTTCTAAAGGAGTGATTAAACATAATTAAATATAACCATTAGGATATTTTGGAAGAAATTTAATTAGGAAAGTGCTTTTGAAATAATATTAAGAGAAAACAATGACACAAATTTGTGCATGTAAGACTGGGAATGTAGCTTAATGGTGTAACATCTGCCTGGCAAGCTCAAGGTCCTGAGTTCAATTCCTAGTACAAACCCCCACACACAAATTTGTACATATGGTGTGAATCTCAGCACACACATACACATGCATATGCATACTTTTCTGTATAAATATGTATTTACATTGGATCCCTATTTCTGTGTGAGTAGTGTGTGTAAACTATAGATAGATAGATTAAATATGGCTATACATAGAGACAGAAACAAAAAAGGGGCTAAAGAAAACACACTAAAATATTAACAGTGATTATTATGTTAACTGGAATAATAGGTAAGTTTCATCTTCTTTGTACTTTACAGTGATTTTTGAGATTTTCCATAGCAATTTTCTTTTTATAAAAAAAGAGCTAAAGGCTGAAAATGATTACCATTAAATAACTATTAGCATATATATGTATATGAATACACACACATATGTAACCATAGAGACATTAAAGAAGAGAGTTGGTTAAAATTAGTTAAGATATGCCTTCCTAATCTAAAAACTAAAGGAGTTAGTGGGATACAAAATGTACAATGCACCCTGTGAAAGTTAAAGGGGAAGAATTGTCTAAAAAGGGGAGGCAGGGTACATTGTTAATCTTCTGTCATGATTTGAAACCCATATTGTTTTCATCACTCTGTTTAGTTTGGGTATATTCTGCTGCAGTCTGTCTACTAGTACTAGATTTGAGGGCATGGACAACTATTCCAAAGATAGCAGGGTACACTATTGTAATCATTTTTAACTTCCTATTAACTTAATCTGAAGCCCTGTATTGTTTTCACTGTCTTGTTTTGACTGATATTATTTGAATGTTTTGTTTGATCACTCTCTTGTCTTAGCTGATTTTATTCAAATCTGTTATGTTTGATAGTATCAAGTCTGAGAGTATAGGCAACTACTCTGAAGACAAAATTCACTATGATATCCATTCTGGTTTGACTATTACATTCTTTTGAAGTCCTATAGTGTCTCCAATGTTTTGTTTTTATTGATTTTGTTCTGTACTGCTATGTTCAATTTTATTGTGCCTGGTGATATGGGCAATTCTATTGAAGATAACAAGAGCCATCATAGTAACCATTGTAGATCACCTTGCATTTGGTTTTTAAGTCATGTACTATGTCCATACTTTTGTTTTGACTGACCCCATTTTGTTCTTTCTCATTTGGTTTTACTCTCTTCAAAATAAAAATAAATAAATAAAATTAGTCAGGTATAGTGGCACACATTGGTAATCCTGGCATTGGAGAGACAGGCAGGAAGAAAATGAGTTTAAGGCTAGTCTGGGCTACAAAGTGACGCTCTGTCTCAAAATAGACAAACAAGCCCTCAGTTTGGGTCACTATATAGAAGCATAATGCTTGTAAATTTTTGTATTAATAGGGAATTTTTGGTGATGAGAGGAAACCAAACAATTTTTAAACATATTGTTGGAAGGCTATGGAAACTTTGGATTCAGAGGAAGAGCTAAAGAAACCAGCTTAAGAGAGGGCAGGTCCCAGGTCAATAGGTATAGGTAACAAAATCACTGGAAGTCTTACAGGATACCACAAAGTCATTGCTGGGTCTTTCTGAGTCATTCTATTTAAGATTCAAATTTCTTGAAAAATATCTGATTGGCTCCAACCTTTTACCACAAAAGAGCAGAGGACCCTACCAAAACTTCAGGCTCATGAGCCAGTTCCAGAAGAAGAGGCTGAAAGCCTGTAGACAAAAGCAAAAACAGCTATCTCTACATGGCCTTGAAGGAATATTATGAGGGTAATTTTGTATATAATGCTTAGTACAAATCCTAGATCATAGCAACTGCTCAGTATACTTTAAAACTAACATACATATTTGTGAGTCTGTCTTGGGGTAACTATATCTGTGTGTGTTTGGATTCACCAAATCAGGCAATAAAATATAAGAAAACATTAGTAAAATTGTTTACAGTTGTCTTCTATTTTACAATTTCAACACAATGCACAAATACGGTTTTTTTGGTTCAAAGGAAACCAAACTTTTTATAAAGAGAGAGACATGATTCTAATGGGATT